GGAAAAAGGGCGGAGGGGGACTCTGTCATCCTCAGGGGCAAGGCCTGGGATCATATTTTGGACCCATCACCTGCAAGTGGAGGCATGACAGGAAGGATGGTCCAGTGGTTGGAGGGGGGGAATTCTGCTCAATTCCCAGCTCTGCCACAGACTTCCTGGGTGACCTTGGGCAAGCCTCTTAAACCGCTCCGTGCCTCAGTTTCCCATCTGTACAACAGGGATAACAGCTCTGTCCTGCCTCACAGGGGTGCGCAGGATAAATACATGAAAGATGGGGAGGCGCTCAGATACAACGGTGACAGGGCCAGACAAGGACCTTAGATAGACAATGTCCTTTTAACTGTGCTGTGCCATTGTCCAGGTTATGCAGGTTCTCCAAGCTGGGGAGCACCCTCCAGCCTCCTCCAACCCTTCTCACGGCTTCTGTTTCAGGGTCATTAGAAAGGAGGGATTCAACTGTGGGCGGCGCATGGCCAAGTACGCCAGTAGTGAGGGGAAGATGTGCAGTGAGGGATGTGCCAGGACTAACTCACTAGCTGGAAAGGCTAAAGTTTCACGTCTCTGAAATAGAAGCCACCGCCCCCCTGCCCAGTCTTCTCTGGTAACTGTATCTGCCCTGCCCCCCCACCCCGCCCTTTCTCCCCATGCTTATATCAACAGCAGTGATGGCACTTGGCAGGACAGCCCTCTGGGCCTCTGCAAAACGCGGATTCTGGATTGTCATCGTAGTGCTACCAAGGCGTTACAGCACAGCCTGGGGTAGGTGTACACTGCAGACAGGGGGCATAATTCCAGCTTGGGCAGAAGTCCACGCGCTAGCTCTGCTCGAGCGAGGGCGGTACAAAGAGTGGCACGACAGCCCTGGGAGCAGCTTGGACTAGCCGCCCGGGTACGTACCCAGGCTCTTAGATGGCGCTGTACTCTGGTGGCTAGCCTAGGCTGCAGCGTGGACACCGCCATAGATGTAGGCGATTAAGCTCAGGCCACGGCCAACCTCCTAGAGCGAGGGGCTTAGCCACAGGCCTCCAAGAGTCGTAGACCAGGAGTTCTGTTCCTGGTTTTAATACTGACTTGCCATTGGCCTAGGCCCTAGGGCAACACCCCACCCCCTTTGTGCCTCAGTTTCTCATCTGTAAGGCAGGGATAGTTACTACTTACTTCAGAGAGTCCCCCCGGGTAAGGAAAGGCTCCCTGTTCAGCACCACGCTAAGCAGATAATTAACTCCAACAAAGCCAATGGGAATTCAGCACACGTTTAAAGTTAAGCATGTGACTAAGTGCTTGGCTGAGCAGGAATGAACTTAAGCAGATGCTTAAATGCTTTCCTGAACCAAGGCTGCTGGGAGAGGCGGTATGATTTAATTAGCCTGGCATTTTCCAATGGGAGTTAAGTGCCTACTTCCTTTAGGCTCTTGGGGGAGAATCACAGCCTCGAGGTGTGTAAAGCGCTCTGAAATGACCTGAGGGACGAGGTTATAGAAGCAGTAGTATTAGGTTAGCTTCAATATTAAACAAGCCACTGCTGAGAACATTTTCCGGGTTCAGGCTCCTTTTCCAGACTAGAGATCTATAGGGTGTGGGTTTTACTTTGTTTCTCTAATTTGGGGGGCCAGGCTGCTTATGGCATCTATCACCTCTAAACATTCCTGGTGAATAGCCACCAGGTGGGAGGGCTTTGACCCAGTTTCCAATCCTGCAGGAAGCTGTCATTCAGCTTGGAAATGGATCTAAACAACCACAGGTGCATTGCCGGCCTCTGCGCCACACCCTGGGGTTTCTTGGCTTACACAAGCTCTTGCATTTGGGAGGGAATGTGCGTTCGGCTGCTTGCTGGGAATTAGAGGAAATGGAACACCAGGAAACTGGTTTTCAAAGTGATTCAGGAGCAATGGAGCCAGATGTTTTCACGGCAGTTGCATTTTTACAGGCCGGGTGCATCTTTCCAATTTTAGCAATTCCCTTTTTCCTGAGGGCCTATTGGACAAGGAGCAGTGAGCAGGACGGCAAAGGACTTTATCTTTCAGTTTCTAGCAATGCCGTTTAGCTCAAAGGCTAATCATGGAGAGGGGGGAGGGATGAGACTGGAAAGCTAGCTAGTTTGGGTAGGATTTGGTCACAATGTGGGCTAATACACACTTGCCTTTGTAGCCCAGTTCATAAGAGCCACTTGCATCTGGACTGGTGTCCAATTCGAGGGCTTTATTAACTGAAGGAAAAACTAAGATTTCAGAGTGGACACTGCTGCACATATGTGAAAAAATATGTTTGGTGGGAGTGGGGGTGAAAGCCACTGGATCGTGCAATACGATACAAATTATTGCTGTGCAACCTGAATATATCTCGCGGGAGATGGAATTAGGATGGAGGTGCAGAAATGAGGCATTTAAAAGTCCAGCATAATAGGTATAGTAGCAAATATGCGTCTATATGGCCTAAAAACCAAGCCACTTTATTATCTCTGCCTATACATACACTCTACATTCGAACTCCGGTCTTAGATGCACAGATCCTGAGGCCACGGTGGCCATCTAGTCTGGGCTCCGGTATAGCACAGGCCAGAGAACTTCCCCAAATTAATCCCTAGAGCAGAACTTTTAGAAAAACATCCAATTTTGATTTGAAAATGGGCAGTGATGGAGAATCCCCACGACCCTCGGGAAAATGTTCCAGTAGTTAATTAGTCTCACTGTTAAAAGCGTACACCTTATTGCCAGTCTGAATTTGTTTAGCCTCAACATCCAGCCATTGGTTTGTCAGACCTTTCTCTCCCAGATTGAAGAGCCCATTATTAAATATTTGTTCCCCCTGTTGATACTTAGAGACTCTGATCAAGTCACCCCTTCACCTTCTCTTTGTCAAGCTAAATAGATTGAGATCCTTGAGTTTATCACGATCAGGCTAAGTAACAGAAAGTTCAAAGAAGTGCTCAGGAGTCTAACTTTTTATAACACACTCCATTAAGTGGATGTACACACACACCCATTAGGCTCTCTTATAAAGCTGTGTGAAACTTACATAAGGAAATCCAAGTGAAGCCAATTACACATTCAAAAACCTGAATCGAGGCCATGGTGCCTATATGAAAATTATCCACTTAATAGCTTGAGGGTCAGATGGGGTAGTTGACATTTAGTTGAAATATTTATTGGGCTAAAATTGCAAGAGTGTGTGTGTGTGTGTGTAAGTAATAGATTGAATGTACCCAAATGGATCCCTCCACAGGCTTTGATGTCATTTAGACTGCAAGCTCTTCTGGATGGGGACTGTTTCATCCTGTGTGTTTGCACAGAGTTTAGCACAATGGAGCCCTGATCTAGGCACTACCAGAATAGAACTGACAGTGACAGAGGCTCACAAACTTTTTGGAAAACTTGGTCCAGCTGGTCAACAAACCTGGGACAGATTTATGGCTTCAGCAGTCCGTCCAACCTTGTGGGTTGGATGGCTGGACCCAAGAGCAGACGTGGGTCCTTGGGGTGTGGGTGCGGGTGCGTGCACCGCAGGCCAGTTAGAGTGTCTATGAGAACGTTAACACTCAGGAATTGCAGAATGTGAGGCAGAGATTATCAAAGTTGTCTAGGGGATTTGGACGCTCCACTCCCATTCAGTCTAAACAAGTCCCATTTGCCCAAAGCCCTTAGTCAGCTTTGAATAGGGCAGCCTGAATGTTTAAATGTAACATCACCTTAATGATACGGTTTGCATTTACGTTTAATGAGGTCTAAGCCTCCCCTCCATCCATCTCTACAGAGCAGAGTGGGCCCGTTAAGTTCAGAGCAGCTGTTGGACAACTCCAGGGACTGCCCCAGCTCTTAGATTTCACCACATTTCCTGATAGAACACATGGGATGGATTCAGGTCACCTGTCACATTCCTTCTAACTTTACCCTCCTGTTCCCAATCAACTGATTGGCTACCGGCCAAGGAGACTTAATTATGAAAGGGGAGAGAATGGGATATTTGGAGGGATGTGGAGGAAGAATTGAAAGAATTCTTAGTTCTCCGCTTAGCTAGCAGCTGGCATGGGAGAGAAGGAAGTACTCCCGTCTGTTCCCCCACCCCCTGGCAGGAGGTGGTACAGATGTATGGTCTAATTTCCCCCCTTATTAGGATAACCGAATCCTGACTTGGATGCTTTGATCAGCACATAGGCCTGTGAAATGGTGCCCATGTTTGGAAACTGGGCTCATAAGTTTCATCAGCTGATCACATCACACAAGTCCCAGTTGTTTTCTGGAGAAAGCAAGATGGTATTCGTAGGAACTAACAGAGAATTTTAGGATTGATCACCTGCTTCCATTGCTGTGGAAATGCTATGCCATCGGCACTGCCCAGCACAAACCCACTAAGAAATTAGTTGCTTGGAATGTTTCAGGGGCGGCACTGGCAACATAGGAGCAAAGGGAATTAAGGGTGATCAGCACACCCAAAAGTCTTGCAGGATCAAGCCTGCACAAATGACTCATCTCCTAAGGGAGGAGATTGAGGTGCATGGTGGGTTGGGAATGAAAGCTCCTTTCGTAAGAGAGCAATGCGAAGAGCAGTCGGTACTGCGCAGATCTGCAGAGATTGCAAGCACAGAGCCTGCTTCCGATCTCACTTACACCAGTGGAACCCAACTGACCTCAGCAGATTCACTGCTGATTTATGCCAGAGCGACTGAGAGCAGAATCAGGCGTGTGGTCTGGATTTCCAGGCATTCCCTTACCTTCCCATTCATACTACAGTGGGCAGCAAATTCAAAGCAGGAGAAACTATGTACATACGCCTCTCTGTACCCAGAACTTTTATGTTTGACTTTCAAGTTCCTTAAACCTTCAGCCTGACAATCTCTCCCAGAGCCAACAAGGCATTGGGGCGACACCTAGCAGGCAGGGTGGTTAGACCAGAGATCCGACTATTTAGTGGTGCCCTGGGGCGCTGAAATTCTCCTCTGTCACAGATCTAGACTCAGATCAACCATTTTCAAACCCATGGGACAGGGCTCCGGGCGTCGTTACCTTTTCGTGTTGTGGATGGTGGTCCCGCCCAATACGATCCGGACCCCAGGGGTGCTGCGGTTAAGGTTATACACAGTTAACGCCTCTTCATAGGTTGCTCCTCCAATGATAAACACAATAATATCTTGAGGCCTGCAATGAAAAGGGAGCACTCTTGAAACGGAGCAGGACAAAGCATTAGACAACACAGCCTAGGGATAAATACTGCCCTGGCCAGGGACACGGATTGAGCAAGCCAGTGGATTTTCCCTATAATCGAAGGTCTGTGACGTACAAGGCCCTGGAGGGGGCAATGATGCAGTAGCACATAATGTGGCATTTAAACAAACACGTACACAATGTGCTAACGGTTCTGAAAAAGCAGTAGCACCTCGAGCGACGCCCAGGCAGGATCTGTATTCCCCCCGGGCTCCACCGTGACATATCCACCAATGTTTAATGCATGAGCATGACCCTGCTGGGGCTGTTAAATTAAAAGCAATTTAGGAGTCAAATGAGGGCAGCGACCCGTCTTGGTTTTGGCTCGAATCAGCTGCAATCTTTCTGGCTCATTACGGAATTGGTGGGATTAAGCCTAGTTCACCTCGGAGATGATAATCCCTAAGGAGCCTAGGAGCACAGGATTTTGCAGGGAAGTTGCAGGGCTGGGCTGCCTTCACCTGGGTACATGCAGAGACAGACACGTGGCCCTGAATATTTTGACTTCCCCAAGAAAGCCAGCACCTCGATCTCTTCCTCCTCACACCCCCCCCCCCCCTTCTCCCCCCCCCCCCCCCCAGTCACCCAGCTGGCTCAGAGGTACAAGAAGTTGGCCCTGGCTCGTGAGCCACCTTTGCTGTCGTATAAAAGATCTGTGAACCCCGGAGTGCACTGCACGGGTTCTACAGGATACGGTGCTATGCATCCTCTCGGGCGACTCCAATAACGTCCCTTGCGGAGTCCGAACGCGTCTCTCGACAGGGCAGCTAACTCTTGACACAACCTCCTGGTTCCCTTGCTGCTGTGCTCTCTAACCCCTCAACCTGGATCTCTGTTCTGCAGCCAGGTATTCTCTAAGACTAGAGTGGCTTGCTTCAACAGTCGGAATAGCAGCAATTCGTCTGCGTGGGCCACGCAAGCTCCTGGTCAGAAGCAAGGCCCAAACTGTCAGAAAGTAGTTTTGAGTATAAGGTGCCCAGCATCTGGCAACTCAAGCCAGCTTTTAGAAGTTCTTGGAAGCTGCGGGTAGTTGGCCCATCTGAAAAATCATATCCTGGGTGCCAAAAAACTTTAGGTGCCTAATATTACAGGGCACTTGGGAAAACATGGTTCTCCGAGTTACGTTAAACAGAGAAATTGCTTCCTGAGGCATTCAACCGACTTCAACACAAGTTTCATCTGCAGTCAGTGTATAATCTCCTCTTGCTTTCTTTGGAACAGTTGACAGTGGCTTAGCTTCAGCTGTGTAGCTTTCCCGAAAGGACAGGGTTTTTAATCAGAGAGGAGTCCCTTGTAGGAAAGGCCTGAAAAGGTACACGAACACGCCAGCCTGGCTGTTCCACACTTGAGCTCTGCAGACGCAACGGTGCGATTTATCATGCAGATGTTTTGGGCCGTCAGTCGGGAGCAGTTATACGGTGGGAGAACTCTCAGGATTTCAGCAGCACAGCAGAGTACGGCGCATTCACAACATTCCCAGCGAGCCAGGATTCTGTGCAGCGATCGCTCCCCGAAGAGTCACAGAGTCCCTTGAACAAAAGCAAGCTGTGAAATCTTCTGCACTGCAGCCGTAAGATAAGCAGGTTATATACAGCGACTGCATGTTCAGACTGTGCAGGTTCAAATGTTTCACTACAGCAGACGACGAAATTTCTACGCACGAGCAAGGATGCGAGTCACTGAGCCAGCCCTGGAGGATGGAGACTGCTGTGCCGTGGCTTTTAGCTGGGTTCAGACATGCCTCTTTGGAAACTGCATGCAAATTTGCCCAGCTCTTTTGGGGATGGAGGAGGGGGGAAATCGAATAAACCATAGTCTGCTGTATTGGAGAGTAATTCTGAATCCCTTTTCAAGACCCAGTTCTGCTGTGATGCCTAGGAGAGATCAGCCAAATCACTGATGGCTAGAAAGAGGGGCCAGTGGCACCAGTTGACAATGTACTTTATAATAATTGAAAGAGAGGGGTGTGTGTGTGTAGGGCGGGGGGTGCGTGGGACTGCAAGGTTAATAGATAAAATCCCTACTTTATTAGAGAGTTGGAAGTGCGGTTGCAGGATACAGCACTCTGGGAGTCAGGACTTCGGGCTCTATTCCCAGGTCTGCTAGCGCCCTGCTGTGTTACTCCCGGGCTCTTTTGGGAAGTAGGTACAACACCGATCTGCTATGCGGGTCACAGTGGTGATGTCTCACAAATCCCAACCAGCCAATTACATCTGTTAAATTGAACTAGTGACTGTAACTGGATCAGTAAAGCAACCGGCAAACAAAATAAGCAATTTAGCCGAGGGCGACAGTCCCTTCGTTACAAGCGCCACCCACCCCCACTTCATCCACGGGGTCGGGCTCCAAGCAGCTCCAGCTCACGTGGCCTAAGGGATTTACGTCCCCAAATCCCCAACTACCTCCCTTTGGCTCCTTCAGAACGCCCAGCCTGAAACTCGGCATCCCAGCATGCTCCAGGTTTGCTTAGTCACTGCACAGTCACCCTTGTTTCCAAGGCTCCATGCACCACCACCATCAAGTGCTTTGAGATCCGCAGATCCCGGGAGGTACAGCAGCCCCAGGCAGGCAGCGAGCCTGCCCTAGCAGTCAGGGCTACGTTACTGTGCAGGAAGTCGATCCCAATGCACGAGGCCGAGAACGCACACTATCACCCTAGTGGCTCCGGCACGGCAGGGCACTGCATTCGCTGGAGGGAGCAGCGGGGGGCTTACTGCCCAGATGAAGCCCCAGACAGAGGGGTCTGGCATTGGCTGTTCTTGTCCCTGGGTCCAGAGACAATCAGATCTTGGCCGCTTCCAATGGTGCTAAACAGATTTTTTTTTAAAAACCACCCCAGGAAAGGAGGCACCCAGAATGCATATGAAAGTATCAACGCAGCTCATCCTGACATCACTCCTCCGCCCACGCTACCCCTGCAGTAGCTGCAGTGAAAGCACTAGCGGTCTTACAAATACATCGGGGAGGTCTAGTCATACTTAACATCATGGCCCAGAAGAGGCAGATCAGAGTCAGGCTGCTTAGCTCTGCAGTTGATACCAACTTGGGAGGAGAGCTGAGGACTGAATTACTTTGACGGTGTCAACCCTCTTTCAAACCCTCTACTGCTCCCCCTTCTCTATCGCAACGAACCTAAGCTGATTGAAAGTGAATACCTGGCCCGTCCGAGTCAACCCCCACCTACCTATCATCTCTCATTTGCTATGGTGCCGGCCTCCACTGCCCACTTGTTAAATTTTCACACAAGCGAGGAGGGAGCTCCCCCTAAACATCTGCCTTCAAATCCCTCCTTCTACAACCTCTCTGCCCTGGGGCCTGCTAAAACCTTCACAACAGTTCGGCTGCTGGTGTGCGGAGACCGCTGCCTATTGTCACAGACTAAGATTGTCTCATTGGTTAGTTGTACTCCCCGGTCTGTGGGTCTCCACCCATTTGCGGAGAAGAAAGGACCTTACCCAGTCTATGGAATCCTGGTCAGACCAGGTTTCCAAACATCGGGATATTTTCTTATTCTGAACAGGGCAAATCCTCATTTGAGTGGAGTCCAGGTCACAGAAGCCACCGCAACTGGCACCCCATAGTGCAGCTCTAGCTAACACAGTAAGCTGAACAGCCATTGTCAGACAAAAGTGTGGCAGAATCGAGCCGGACAAGCATTTTAAGAGGAAAGATGGTCTTGTGGGTACGCTGCTGGGCTGGGACACGTGGGATCGCAGCCCTGCTACAGACGCTCTCTGACCTTGGGCAAGTCACTTCATCTCTCTCTGACTCAGTTCTCCACCTGTAAAACAGGGATAATCATCCTTCCTTTCTCCCACCCTGTGTGTCTGGTCTATTTAGACTGTGAGCCCTTTGGGGAACAGACCGTCTCGGACTACATGCATGTACAGCGTTTAACACAATGGGGCCCTGATCTCAGCTGGAGCGTCTATGAGCTACTGTAATACAAACAGTGAGCTTTTGGAGAGCTGTAGCTAGCCTGACTCAAGCAGTAGTGTCGAGGGGCCTGCATTTGTATGGCAAATAGGAGGAGAATGACATTTAAAACAGCAGGAGAAGGAGAGCTGGAAGTGAAAGATTACGTGGAATCGCTTGGAACCCTGCTCGATGCTTTACAAAGATTCCCCTCCACCCCTTGCTGCTAATTTGGACCAGAAGCTTCTCCTCCCCCACAAGAGCATAATATTTATTACGGAAAGACTCGTCCACTCACACGGAGAGGCCTTTAGAAATTCTTTGCCGTTCAAGCGGTTGCCTCCCTTTGATGGTGAAATCCAAAGCGTTTCATCCTGCCCTTTAGCTGAACTCGCGTCAATCACTGTAATGCCGTCCGCTGAAACCACAAGCAGCAACACAGTCTAGTCCCGTTTGCCCTGGGCTGGGTTTTACGGGATTCCCTGACATGTATTATCAATGTTGTCAAGTTTATAATAAGTTTAAGGTGGCTCCTCTCTCAGTTCCTTTGGAACGTTTCAGGATAGATTTTAAGGCCTGATTAATTTTCCATCAATCTATCTAAAGTACGTCTGTGGCCCCCATGACCCTGGAACCTAAATACCTCACAATCTAAGATATTTATCCTCTATGGGAGAGCTGGACTGCGATCCCCGTGGTACAGACAGAGTGAGCTGTGTTTATAATTCCTGCACTAGGTCTGATTGAGTGCATGGACCGCCGGGGCTCGCCGCTCAAGGACATCGCTAGGTTCTCGGATGGGACTGGACTTGGGGTGGCTAGCTTGTCCCGCCACCCCACCGACACGTCTATTTTCAGTGCGCTAACTTGATCAGAGCTAGCATGCGTATGTCTCCTTGGGCCGGGAATCACCCCCAGCTTGAAGTGTAGACGTACCCTAAGCGACTTGCCCCAGGTCAGACAGGAGCAGAGAACTGAATGCAGGTCTCCTGAGTCCCAGGCTAGTAGCAGAACCACCGGGCCATCTGTACATTGAGCCCTGGATTTCCAGTGCCCCAGCACCTTAAACTCACTGGGGTACATTCTCCCCCATCAGTGCCTGCAGCCAGACCATCTAGTGCTCTGAGCCAGCCTCATGAGGCAAGGTGGGCCTGGAACCGGAGATCGGTGCATGAATCTCCAGGGGGCGCTCCGCCCCGAGCCAGTGCTGCTGAACCTCATGCCATAGTGGCACTGGGGGAAAAATACACTGCCACCCTCTGACCTCATCTTGCATTTCTGCTGCCTTCGTCCCCATCCTGGGACAATCAGATGCCTTTCCCTTTCCAGCAGCCCCTCCCACAAGCCCCAAAATCCACTGCTGGATTTTTCAAGGAGCATCTGGCATGAGGCAGAGATTTCCTGGCACGTAGACAAACAATTCATCTCTGGTGCCCATAATTCTTTTCTCACTCAGAAATAAAGTGGTTAATGGCCCTGGCTGTCAGGCTGGAATCTGGATGCCTTTCCGGTCTGAAATATGTTTTCACTTGTATCAGCTGGATCGCGACGCCCTATGGTGGGGCTAAGGAAGGAAGCGAAAGCCGTGCAGGGTGTACCTCCTAGAGCCAGAGAAATTAACGAGCACGTCCTCCCCTCCCACTGAACCTCGGTCCCGAAGTCTGCGTCCCTTCTGCTCTAAACAGTTTGTAGTTTTAATTTAACCCAGCCTGCCCTGCAACAGCCACCTGATTTGTTGAAAAAGTATTAGCTCGCAAAATGTGGCAGCTGTGTGAGGGGAGTGATGATCGTTGCAACACTCTGCATGTAAAGCGCCTTCCCCAGAGGGCCGCCGAGCGCTTCACTGTGCCAACCCACCGGAGCTCATCACCAGGGAGTGAACCTAGGGTATTCAGCATCAGAGGCACAGGGGTCTACTATTGGAGCCAAAGGAATAACTCTAAGCTTGCAGCAGTGGCAGGCTCGTATCCTCTAAGCAGATCGTTCATTAGAATTGGCTTGAACACCCTGAACCAGTATATTATAGAAGCAGAAACTCTGATTTACAGATAACCCCTCCATACCTTAGTTTCCCTAAGTAACTGGTCCAAGAGCTGGGAATAGAAACCCCAGGTCCTGTTCTGCAGAACTGCCACTTAGCCAGTCAGTCCCAGCCTGCAGCACTGCATGGGATTCTTCCTTCCTAAGTGCAGGACTCTCCACTTGTCCTTGGTGAACCTCATCAGATTTCTTTTAGCCCAATCCTCCAATTTGTCTAGGTCACTACTCTGGACCCTATCCCTACCCTCCAGCATATCTACCTCTGCCCCCAGCTTAGTGCCATCCGCGAACTTGCTGAGGGTGCAATCCATCCCATCATCCAGATCATTAATGAAGATGTTGAACAAAACCGGCCCCAGGACAGACCCCTGGGGCACGCCGCTTGATACCAGCTGCCAACTAGACATCGAGCCGTTGATCACTACCCGTTGAGCCCAACGATCTAGCCAGCTTTCTATCCACCTTATAGTCTGTTCATCCAATCCATACTTCTTTAACTTGCTGGCAAGAATATGCTGGGAGACCGTATCAAAAGCTTTGCTAAAGTCAAGATATATCACATCCACCGCTTTCCCCATATCCAGTTATCTCGTCATAGAAGGCAATCCAAGGGCAAGTCATGCCTGACCACCCTTGGTCAAATTGAGACACCAAGATGTTAAGCGACTTGCCTATGGTCAAACAGCAAACCAGTGGCAGAGCTGGGAAATAGAGACCAAGTTTCAGTTCCCTGCTTCGCCTCTAGAGAGCGCTGCTGTCTCGAGGCAACTGGAAGGAATCAAACTGACAAACAGGCGAATACTCTTAAGAGCTACAGGGCAATTCCATGCATGCGGCTGTCTGAAGGCAAAGGGAAAAATATGGGGGGAGATTTCCAGAAACGCTCAGCATTGGACTAACTCTGCTGTTATTACTTTTACCGTCGATAGGCCAAGACCAAGTGCTATGGAGTCCCCTCCACATCATATAGTTGTCATTAAACAAAACATCACAATGTTTCCTGAACGTATGGACACAGGTATTAACGATCCCTTATTTACCCCAAAGGGGTTCTCCTGTCCCCAGCCCGCCCCCTCCGTACCTGTCCCGGAGCGTGCTGGGACCCAGGTAGGGGTACTGGCCATCCTTAAGTTTTCCTTTGATGAGCTGATCTAGAGTCTCGTGCAGGAAGGGCTGATGCTGCGTATACACGTTCTCAACGCCCTGCGATACAGAGGGAAAGTGCTTTTAATTCAGATGCCACAAGGCAGGAAGCGGAGAGAGTGGGCCAGCGAAACCACGATCCAGAACCAACAGCAGCCAACGGACGCAGTGATTGTTGGTCCAGACCAACTGCCTCGTGCCCTCGCAGTGCGCTGAGCGCACAAATACTTCAACCTCTGAAAGCCAGGAAAGAAGGTGTACACTGGCCCCACCCCGCAACCTTAGCTCCATGCCCAGAGCTGGCAAGAGCCACTGGAGATTGCTTATTAAAAGGCAGCCCTGGCTGAAATAAACACAAGCCGACAGGAGGAATGACTAAAGGTGCCACTGCAGGTGGTGCATGGTGCCCCCTGGCATTGCCCTCTCATCGACCTGCATGCACTCCATCCGCCCTGCGCTGTGTTAGGGACAGCTCTCGAGTGGGGCTGGCTCTCATGCGATGGCCACACGGAGCCCCTGGGGTCCCCTGCATGCTCCCTGTCCTTGTCTGGGCTTTGCCAGGGACCACGTGGCAGAGCTCTTAATACCTTCAGTCCTTTGAGGAACTGCTTGGTGATGGCGACAGCATCCTTGGGGCTGAAGAGATCGCTGCCCCGGACCCGCTTCCCACCGTATTCCACAACCGCTGACACCAGCTGTCCAGAGAGAGAGGGGAGACCGGCGACCAATTCACATGGGGAACTAGCTTCAGGAAGGCTTATGGGGATTTAACATTGATGAAGGTGCTGAAGTGATGCCCAAGGAGCTAAAAGGGACTCCAGCTAGCCCCAACCCGACACACACCATGGAGAGGTTCAGGGCAAGTGTCCCCCGTATGCTCCCAGCAACGTACCCCTGGCCCTACCTTGGTGGGGTGCCTTCAAAGGGTTAAGAAGGGAGTTTAATCTCCATGGTCTATTCAAGCCACAACGTCTCTGCCAAATGGGGACCCACCCCCAACCAAGCCTCTCTCGGTGTTGGGTCTGAGACCAGTAGAAATTACAAGCAGAACGCCACAGCAGAGAACCGAATAGGCCATGGGGCCAGAACTCCTAAGTGGGTTAGCAAATCCAGCCTACCCACGTGAGAGTTCGTACAGCGCCTCGCACAACGGAGCCCAGGCATGGATCAGGGTCCCAGGCATTACTGTAATAAATACGAACAGGAGGGATAGGGATTTTGAGTTGGGTTTGAAATGAGTGATTTACTTGGGAGGTGGGAGTGGAGGGAGGACCTGAGACATGGGCTTAGGAGGATGCCGCCAGTCTATAGCTCCATTCTCACAGCGGCTCTCAAAGCGCTTTGCGGACATCAACCAAGGCCGTTGGGGGCATTTCAAAAGGCAATACCAGGATTGTCCTTCAGAAATTTCCATCTAATTATAAGGCTCTCGTCACCCCAGCATCTGATCACCCATCTGAGCCAGGGTAAGAGTCGCCTCGGGCGGGGAGAAGTCAGCAGTATCCAGAGAGATGGGGACAAACTCCAGAAGCAGAGACGTTCTCCCAGATCATTAACTGTATATTTTATAGTAATGTCCAGACCAGGGCACCGTTGTGCTAGGTGCTGTACAATTTGCGAGGTGGATACGGTGCCCGCCCCAGGAAAGCTCACAAGTAACACGAAGGATGGAGGAGAGGTACGCAGACAACATCCCATAGTAATTCAGATATTAGCTCCCACCCGGGGACAGATCCATTGACTCCAATGAAGCTATGACAATTTATACTAGCTGAGGATATGCCCCCCCCTCCCCCGGTGTTTTCCTATCTGCTGCCTATTTAATCCATCCTTCCAGAACTGGGACAACAGCTGCAGCTACCTTCCGATACTTCTCTGAAACCCCTTTGTTCTTGAGGTCCATCATCAGGCCGGGCAGGCTGTTGCTGCTGTGTCGCTCGTAGTGCAGGGCGTAGAGCATCACCAGCCGCGTGGCATCGAACTCGGTCACCTTGGGATTCTGCAGGAGCCGCCGCACGTTCTGCAATGATAGAAGGGGCCCCCCCCCCAAACACAGCATTCAAGGGCTGGGTTGTTTTTTGGCCCTGCGCATTAGACCTGCATTTCTAGAGCAATTGGGTAAATCCCGTCTCAAACCTGCTGCGTAGGGACAACAGAGCCGCGTGTGTAGAAGGCAAAGTCTCAGGCAATCTTTGGGCAGGAGGAAGCATGCAGGGGGGAGAGGAGGAGAAAGTGAGAGGGCATCAGAAGTACGCGATGGGAAGAGAAGAGAGGGAGGAAATGAAGCACCAAAGGAAAGATGGTTTTTGCACCAGAGGCAACAAAAACGTACTGCCATCACGTTTCCAACATTACGTTCCCAGGCAATCCATCGCTTTAGCTGCTACAGGGACATGATATTGCAAACAGAACGGGAGGTGTCCACTAGGGAGTCTGCCTATTAAGGGCTTGTCTACACTACAAAATGAAGTCAACCTAACTTACGTCAGCAGAAGGCCATGGCAGTAATGACATTGCCTGTGCGTGTGTGTGCGTGCGCGTGTACACACTTTGCTCCTTGTGCCGGTGTTGCGCGGCCTCACCAGGAGCGCTAGTATCGATTGTACTGTCAGCGTGGGGCATTGTGGGAAGGCTCCTGAAAGCCAGTAACAGTTGACGTAAGCAACACAGCATCTGCACTGACACAGCACTGTCCTGAGTACATCGACCGTGACTCCACGCCGCTTGTAGAGGTGGGATTATTAAATCACTGTAGCTGGGCAGTCACGTTGGCGGGAGTGAAATTGAAGTGCAGACACTTCCATAGTTAGGTTGATGTAAGATGCCTTGCGTCGTCCTAACTCCGTAGTGTAGGCCAGGCTAAAGATGTGGTCCACGTTATAAAGAGTTTCAGTACCCCTGCTGTATCCCACTAGCTCAGTGGCCCCCAAACTGTGGGGCATTCCCCCCTACGGGGACACAGCAGGGCCTGGGCCAGCCCCCATGGGAGGGTGGGGCATGCCACCCAGCCCCAGCTCTGCTCCGGCCCCACCCCTGGCCCTGCCCCAGCCGCAGCTCCAGCCTCAGGCCCCACTCCCGGCCACGACTGCGGCTCTGCTCCCAGCTGTGGTCCTGGCCCTGGCTCTGCTCCCAGATCCCAACCGTGGCTCCCAGGGGGCCCAGACAGATTCCAATATGGGTAAAAGGGGGGGACCATTGCATTAGCTGCCTAGGGGGTTGAGCTGGGCAATTATATTCTGTGCAAATTGGCCTTTGACCAGGATCTACCAGCCCAATGTTATTCCTTCCCATTACAAGAAACAGCGCCGTTATTTCTCTCCTCCGCCCCAACATACACCCCCCACCCCCCATCAGTGTGCACTTGCTGTCGGACTCTGCAAAGTTGTACAGTCGAGATAACGGTGCAAACAGCGCAGCCCAGTTGGCAGAAGCTTAAGGGAGCATGGGGACGAATAAACCTCTTAACTCTCTCCTTTGTGCCGGATGCCAGAGAACAGGCGTCAAGGACTGAACGAGCCTGCAGTCCTCCTGTTAGGGGCTGATAGCTGCTGGAGGATCCTCCAGACACTACAAATCTGCCACAGGTTCAAAAGAAAAGCCAGCCTGTGTCAGCTCAAAGGCACAGAAACGAAGGAGGCTCCGTCTTTGTGATGAACTAGAGAACGTGCTCTCACCTCCTAAAGGGAAAGGCCAGACCGAGTGTTCTAGCCCTTGCTAAGGCGCTATGGGATATCCCCCAGAATGCACTAGCGCAGACACAGTCAGGCAAAGCGGAAGCACAAATCTGGTTGAGTCGAATTGCGAACGGGTTCCCGTCTTCGGACACAAGTTGCTGTAACTGGATTAGGTGGCAGCCATGAAAACGTAGGAGGAAATCCTGGCTCCACTGAAGTCAACAGCAAAACTGCGGTTCATGTCAATGGGCTTTCGCCCACAGCATGGATCCTGCAGGGATGTTTGCTTGCGGATTTTGGATCCCTGGCTGGGTGCGTAGTGACAACGCCCATGTAAGAAAGCGGGCAGCAGATGAAACAGAAAAGCAATTGTCCACACAGGAGAAAATGGGATTCAAAAGCTTCCAGGCAGTCGTCTCTTCAAAGACTCATGTACAATGTCACACTTACTAAGAGACCAGGACAGGAATAACCGAAACGTACTGTACTCCAGAGGCCTAGGGCGCAAGTGAAATTATCCATTGCTGAAGTGACATTAGAGGGAGAACAATTCCTTCTTTCTTTGGTGCACTGGGTTATTCTTCATTGTTTCTGTGGCCTTTCCCCTACGCTACCAGTAGGAGACTGTGACAGAACAGCCTGGGGCAACGCAGCTAAAGATATACCGATCACAGGCATTTCCATGTTAAAAAAAAAGCCAACTGAATGGTTTGCACGTATTTATTTTCTAGCAGCTCCACAAAGGACCAGTCAGGCACTGGCTGTACCATAGTCTCCTTTAGCCAAGTGGCCGCAGCACACTCCAGGAGAGCTTGTGCAGTGGAAGTTGGAGCAATACTCCGAAAGGTTTCTCAGGTGTGCAGTTCATAATGCAGCTGCCCCATTGCTCGTAAAGGTGCATCTCGGTCCTTCCAGGATTAGGGCCAAGGGGGGATTCCATTAATGGTAGAACATTAAGAGGTGAGACCTATATTTTCACGAGTGGGCCTTGATTCCAAGTGCCACCTAGGCATAGATTTTTCAAAGGCGCCAAGAGCCTGCAGCTCCGGTTGGCTTCCATTGGAACTGCTCAGCCCTGGGATACAAATGGCTCTATCCGTCTGAAGATGGGCACCCAAACACTGAAGCATCCTTGATTAGAGGCCACTTTAAAAAAAATCACAGCAGATCTTCCAAGGAGTGCATCTGTTGTCAGAAAACACGGCACGTTCTTTGTGTGCGCTCGGGCCCTAAGTTCTCAGTTACAATAAAGCCCATTTACACCACTCTGACAGCATCAAGCGTTCTCAGGGTGGGTGCACCTCACCCTTTGCACTCACCTTGAATCCCTTTCATACTATGTAAGTGAAACCCATTTATTCATGTTGGGATATTGGTGACATCATAGCAGAATTTTCAGAAGCTTTCTCAACCTGTTGCTGGCTTCAAAACACTCCCAGCGTGATCTGCCTGCACACCACCTACCCACCTCCTCGCTGGTCGTCCCACCACCATTCCTTCCATGCTAACTTTCTCGAGGTTATTTCCATTTCTAGGCCTGATGTGACCAAAGTACACTAGTTTGCGCCTGTTCATTTCCAACAGCAGGATCAGCTTCTCTCCAATAATGCTTCTAACAAGCTTTCATCTTGTTCTGAGTCCAGAAGATAGGCACAAGATACCACATCTCAACGGTTTACATTTCTTCTTGCCAGCAGCATTAATTCCCTCATAATCCCTTCACACTGCCATGGCGGTATAAATGGATTTTAGTGCAAGTCCTTGTCTACACACAAAACATTATGCCATTTTAACTGTACCAGTATAGTTAAAACAGTATATTCCCCTAGCGGGGCCCAGTTACACCAATATAAATGTGCTTATACCAGTACAGCTTATTCTCACATGGGAATGAAAACCAGTTATCCTGCTATAAGGCATTTTTATTGTGGAGCTCTTTGCCAGAGGATGTTGTGAAGGCCAAGACACTAACAGGGTTCAAAAAAGAACTCGATACATTCATGGAGGATAGGTCCATCAATGGCTATTAGCCAGGATGGGCAGGGACAGTGTCCCTAGTTTCCATTTGCCAGAAGCTGGGAATGGGTGACGGGATGGATCACTTGATGATCACCTGTTCTGTTCATTCCCTCTGGGGCACCTGGCATTGGCCACTGTGGGAAGACAGGATACTGGGCTAGATGGACCTTTGGTCTGACCCAGTATGGTTGCTATTATGTTCTTATACCTGTGTACCTACATCCACAGTAAGGGCTGTGGCAGTATAACTATCTTGGGGGGGGAGGGGAACAACTGTACACACACTTCTAACCGATGTAGTTACGCTGATACAAAAACTGTGTGTAGACAAGACAGAGGCGAGAACTGGGCTCTTAGCATCTGTGTTTTCCAGCCCCATCATTGCTACCTAACAAGTTCTTACTCCCATTTCCCCTGCAAGGGCTGATACAGCTACAAGAGCGGAAGATGGAGTCTCTTCTGCCGCCTCCATCACGGAGCGCATCACCAGTTAACAGGATTTATTTTGCATTTTTTGTTAGCACTACGTGCTAGGCACTTTGCAGAATCTCTGTTACTGCTGATGTGAGAGGCTGAAAGATGGCAGCAGGTGCACGTGGTGCTGGCAAGGAGAATTCAAACACTGATTTATAAACAGCTTCTAGATCACGTTTGCTCCATGAGACAGCATAAACCAAGGACTCCAAGGGGGTGTTTTAGCAAGTCCCTTTTATGGCTAAGACGCCACATTAGTACATCCTTATCAGAACACAGCAAATGAACACAAATCAACCAGATTCACAGCTGGCATAAATCTGCACTGACTTCAACCTCATGATGCTGATTTACGCCAGCCAACACGGCTATGCTAGGCTCTGTATGTGCACATCCGAGGGTCTGGCCTACAGATTAGACTATCTGGACAGCTAATATCACATAGCCACCCTCTTGGAGCACTGAACACCACAGATTAGAAAGAAATGCCTTTCAAATTCTTTGCAAATGCTGATCGCTAACGTAATACTTTCCTACTGTGTGACAGCATTTATCACACTATAGAGCTTTCCTTTTAGTGAAATCTCTTTTTGAAAGTCACATTTTCGGTACATAGATCAGCAGCATTTTAAAAACGATAAATACGGAGTCTGTGGCTGCATTCTTCGTGTGTCATAACACAGTCACCCTCAGGAAAAAAACAAACCAGCAGCATTGTTTAGTCAACAGCCTCAACAGATCATTATTGACGTACTGTCAGATTCTGGGGCAGGTCATGGAATTATATGAGCCATCAAGGGGTCAGAGCACCAGTCTACACACTCAGCTGTCAAACAGAAGTCCCTTTTCAAGGCTTTCTGAGCCTTTTGCCAAAGAAATCCTTTATTTAAGCAGCTCCATACTGTGTAAAAAGAACCCAAACCCAAAATAAGGGCAGGGCTCACAGGCAAGGGCTTTTCCCAAACACAATCTGATCACAATTGGATTTCGTGTTTTAGATTGTTGATTCTTTTCAGTTTCAAAGCTGTAAGGCCGGTTCGTTCTTTCAGCGACATAGTCATAAATTATGAAGTTTGTTAATGCTATTTTACCAGTACTGTGTGTACAGGGAAGAGTGGCAGAGACACACTAGCCATATAGTTTTGCTCCATTTAGGCTGGTTTCAAATATAAAGAAGAGGAATTGGGATTTTACAACATCTAACAGGAATAAAAATGCTTGGGATTTTTTTTGGTTAATGTTAATCATAGTAATGTAGGGCTGGAAGGAACCTCGAGAGGTCATCTAGTCCAGCTCCATGTGCTGAGGCAGGACCAAGGAAACCTAGACCATTCCTGCAGGGGTTTGTCGAACCTGTTCTTTAAAACCTCCAGTGACGGGGATTCCTCAACCTCCCTTGGACGCCTGTTCCAGAGCTGAACTAGCCTGGGAGTTTTTTCCTAATATAATCTAAATTCCTAACTTAAATCTCCCTTGCTGCAGATTAAGCCCACTACTTCTTGTCTTCTCCTCAGGAGACATGGAGAACAATTGATCACTGTCTTCTTGAGAAGTCTTCAAATATGTTAAGGACTGTTATCAGGTCTCCCTCAGTCTTCTCAAGACTAAACATGTCTAGTTTTCTTTAATCTTTCTTCAGAGATCAAGTTTTCTCAACCTTTTATCATTTCTGTGGCTCTCCTCTGGACTCTCTCCAGTTTGTCCACATTCCTCTTACAGAGCGGCGCCCAGAACTGGACACAGTACTCCAGCCGAGACTTCACCAGTGCCGAGCAGAGTGGGACAATGACCTCCTGCAGCTTACATACAACACTCCCGCTAATACACCCCAGAATATTAGCCTTTTCCACAACAGCATCACATTTTTGACTTGTATTCAATTTGTGATACACTATAATCCCCAGGTCCTTTTCAGTGGTACTTCCAACTAGCCAGTTATTCCCCATTTGTAGCTGTGGATTTGATTTTTTTTTCTCTCTAAGTGTAGTATTTTGCACTTATCTTTACCGAATTTCAGACCAATTCTCCAATTTGTTAATGAAAAGACTCTTGATTTTGTCTTAAGTCATTTCCTTGTGGCTTTGGAAACCCAAACACTGAAGCATGGTGCTAGTCCAGGAAAATCAATGCAACTGACTAAGGTCCCAATTCTGTAGCTGGACCCCATAGACCACGTGCAGCCTCATGGACACCACTGGGGCTTTTCATGGACAGAGGGTTCCACCCAACCTGGAGTTCATTGTGTCATAGAGGCCTGCGAATCCTACTGTGAAACTGACTAATCTACAAAATGTGTGTGTGCAGGTGTTCACTCGCACAGAGCTCATTGCATGATGCCGGCCTGCAAACCACAACGTGAAACCAACCAGTCTAGTTAGGTCAAAGTACCACGCACACCTACAGTGCTATAGAAGTAATCTCGGTTTCACATGTGAAGGCGAATGAAGTGCAAAATGCAAGCAAACAGCCCAAATGAGGAAAAGAAAACTGTCAGAATCCTTTCTATTCTAATCATCCTCTGGAGTATTAGTAACCCAGGGAAGGTCTGCTACTGACAGCGTCCCTTTTTAATCAACTGTATGCATGGGGCATTCATCAGATGACTAATTTTAAGTCAAGGCAACTGACAGTTCTCTCACCATCTGCTTTATGTGAACATAGCAAATCATACATGCCCTAGCTCACACTTAGCAATTGGCTCAAAAGGCGCTCAGAAGCGACCCTCAGGGATTGAGAAATAACATTCTTGCCTCTAGCCTAGTAAATCTGACGTGGGACTCTCACTCCAAAAATATACATGCCCAATAAGGACGCTTGGGCATAGCTGTCACCGAGTGAACACCAATAGGAATAGTTGGAGCTCTAGCAAAATCAACCCAAGTCCCCCAGCAAAGCACCCCTACTAGCTTCTGTAAGCACCAAAGGTCCCACCATAGAGGGATGCTCAAATTTCATCCGACCGATGGCTGCACTGGCAACTTGCCATGAGACGGGGGCTGCACATGATGAACAGACAGGCTAAGGATAGTTGTATTCCAGGGTCCTACTCTTCAGGCATGATTCAGACGCTCCCCAAATATAGCAACAGAGCATGTTCAGCTGATTGGGGCTTGCAAACTGTGACAACCAGTTGTGTTAGTTATCATTACTCAGGATTCATTCCTGTCTGAATTACATGGATGGCGGTGGAGAAGTTAGTTCTACCATCCGAGGTCCCAGCCCCGTAGGCTCCACGTGCACAACTCCCACTGACGTTAGCACTAGTTCCACAAGCAGAAGGGCAGCAGGATCCACCCTGCTGGAAACAGATAAAGGATGAAGGAGGTTTGGCTTCTGGGCTTTGGGTTACCTGGTGAGCACTGGAGTGGTCATTCTGGCAGGCCAGTTCCTGCTCGACCTCCGACACCTCCAGCAGGTTCCGCTCGCTGGCCAGCCGGGAGAGCTCCCCCACCACAGTCACGTGCTTCGATACCGTGCCCGACATCTTCTTGAACTGCGGGTAGTTCTCCACAAACGCCTGCAACGGGGAAGTTGAAACTCAAACCTCTTGAAAATGGCGAGCAGAATATAGTAACCAAGACTTGCACCGGGTTTACATCAGTGCATTTCCCCTAGCTTCAGTGGAACTTACCTCCTGATGTACACCGGCCTGAGTGAGATCAGTGCTGCAGGGCGGGTACTCCTGGTCTCCCCAGAGAACCTCTGCATGGTGTGCCCTGCAGGGGGAGCTCTGCAACTGGAAGGAATCTTTACAGGGAGCAGCTGCTCTCTGCAGCTCACTCTCTTGGTGTCCAGAGGGTTTCCTAGTGGAAATCCCCCCCAGGTGTTGCTGCTACTTCAAATCCTGAACCCTGGCAGACTGGGGGCTGGAGAAGCCCCCGTTGCATGGCGCATTGGAGGTGGGTGGCTGTGCTGAAGAGGATCTTATTAAGCAGGGAGGAGGGTGCAGGCGCAGAGTACTGGGATAGTTATTTGTATTGCAGTAGCACCTAGAAACCCTAGTCCTTGACCAGGACCCCATTGTGCAAGGGCTGTACAAACCAACACAGCCCAGAGAGACGGCTTCCACCCCCAGGAGCCTACATGCCACAGAAGACTGAGTCACCAGTATCAGGGCACGAAGCAGGGATGTGGTAAACGCTGGTGATTTGCAATGTCCTGCAGTGGATTGTTTCTAAGATGCCTGGTCAATCGCGTACGTCCTCTTTACCTTCATGTCCGCTATGGACTCCAGCTTCTGCTGCTCCTTCGGTTTCCTCCGCTGGAAATCCTCCATTAGGTTCTTGATATTGCTCCCGATCTCTGCAAAGTTCAGGTACATGTTCTGTGGACGACAGACAGGGGGATGGGAGGGAAGGCGGCTCCCAGGAGAGCGGGTCTCTTTGGAAATCACCGCCCCCAGCTCCCAAAGCTCTAGGAGGGTCTATTGCATACTCCCATGCTGCGCTCTGAGGGCAAGCGACGAGCTCTGGGATACAAAATGGTTTCATTTAGGCAATAGGAATGGGCCTGTCTGGGACACTGTTTGCTTATAATTATGAATTTCCCTGGCACGTCGGTCATCATCATCATATACAAATGGGGAAACTGAGGCACAGAGCAGGGACAGATCCTGCCCAAGGTCACATAGCGACTCAGTAGCAGAATCAGGAATAGAGCCCAGCCCCCAATTTAGACCGCCTGAGAGCTCTCCCTCCCATCACAGCACCCAGCTACCTACGTTGGCGTAAAACTCGTCATTCTCAGCAGACAGAACCACCTCCCTGAGATCTTTGCTGATGCCGGGTACTCGAGAGAGGTCGATTCGGTTGTTGTTAATCCCCAGCAGCTCATGGACCATGGCCTGGTACGTCCACTAAGAAGGGTTGGGAGGTGGGGGGGGAAGGAGAGACAAACATTTGACTTAAATCACAACCAATTTAAATCAAGACTAAAATATAATGGACCTAATTTGTATTTACAGTAAGGCCCCTTTATACCACTCTGACATATAAGGGCCCACCTCCATTGCAGCTGGGAGCGGGCTGTTCGCTCGTGTAGACGTACCTGTTCTACCTGCGCTCTAGCCAGCTTGCTAACAATTGCGGTGAGGACGCTGCGACGTGGGAGGCAGGCTGCTGCAGCCCACGCTGAGGCCTGTCCCATGGCACTCTCTCACTGCTATTTTTAGCGAGCTAGCAAGAGAGGAGCTGGCATGGAACGTCTACATGAGTGGCCATGCGCAAGTAATCGGACCCAAAGGGGACCCTTAAGCGAATTATGGTGGCACCTACTTTAAAGCACTTCTGCACTGCCAGAGACGTAGCATAAATGAGAATCAAGACCAATGTTTTTTAAAACAAAACTGACAATATTCCCGATGCCTTACACCTTGTAAAATGGAAACTCCCCAGGCCGACTGCCAGCATCTTGTAAGAGATATCACATTTATTATTGCTAATAATTTAGCACCTTGGGCCCCCAATCCAGGATCAGGGCCCCATTGTACTGACACCCAGGAACACAGTCACGACTTCAGACAGCTTGTTGTATTTGTATTCAAAAGCAACCCATGTACAGCAAAGTAAAGACACCAAGACGTGACAATGGGGGATTAATATTCCTGTTAGAACCCATTTGCTTACTATTGTCATCTCTGCCCGTGAACAGGAGTGTATTTTTGGCTGCGGAGCCGCTGCTGTTACAAGCTGTACCGTTTCCTGCTTGCTCTTCTGCTTCTTATGCAGGAGGAGGAATGTGTGGTTTTGGAGATCAGTGCGTTATATATTTAGCCCGAGAAGCCTAATGTTATCGGAAGGGAAGTTTGCGAGCTGATCAAAGCGTTGACATGTTTGCCACCCCATTTACACTCATCTGAATCTCTGCACTGGGTCTGAAGAAGTCTCTGTACCACAGGTAACATTCTCCTGGGACCTCTCCTGCCTGCAGTCCTTAGCCCTACGAACCAGGACTCCACTGGGCTTCTGACACTGCCAGATCACTCTGGTCGATGAGCCAGAAGGGCCCAGGGCAGTAGAGAAATTCTTCCCTACCTTTTGATCTGAGTAGCAGATGAAGTCACCCTACAGGCACATTTAGCATCTAGTGGGAGGGGGGGCGGGAAGCTGTCTACGTGCTGAACGAGCACAGGAATGTGTCTAGAGAGACCTTTAGAATCCAGCTATGCTAAACACAACTGCATCAGGGACCAGGTTACTCCCACATTCCATAACTAGTGCATGTCCCAGGCTTTAGGTGACAGAGTCCCATCTACACTACAAACTGGAACAGCAGGAGTGGGCCAAGGAGTAGCCGTGCTGTAACCAGGTCTCCCGACACAGTTGTGTTTGTAGCATAGATGGGGCCTTACCGGTAAAAGGGGAGGTCAGTCTCCATGGCTCGCTCAGTCCTCGGCCTCTCTGCTGAAGTTCAGTGCCAGCTGTGATGGTGGCTTTTGTGGCTGGGGCATTGGCCCGTTGAACTGGACTGAGACTCAATGAACTCATTTTACACAGGCCGAAGAGGCTAAGAGTTTACTGCCCCCACTGACCTGTGCTGGATTTAAATCAGTGCCCATACAGGGAACAGAGGCTCCTTCCCCAAACCACTGAACCATCCAGTCACCTGAGAAAATTCTCCCGGCCAGAAGGAGAAAAAGTACTGGATGAAAACTGAAGAGGTGTTTCAGCTCCCAGCAGCGTGTCCCACCATCAATCCAGACGCCCTGGCTGCCCTGTGAGAAAGCATTGCTGCAGAGACAGCGATTACCCAACCATCAGGCCGACTGGCGCCCGAACACATCCCGATGAAATCAAAGGAGACAAATAATGGGCTGTTTGATGCCAAAGTCTGCAGCACAGCCACGGAACTGCTCAAAAAACCACCACCCGCCACACAATCCATGCTAGTGCTCATCCATAACGCAGCAGGGAGAACACGCTGATGCAAGGTCATTTGATAGATGTGCTGCCAAGGAGGCGCTACAAATAATCCGTTAAGAGGGACACGGCTAAGACGTTTAGGCCCTGCGTTTAAAGCATGTTTTACGATACACAAATGGCTGGAGTATCCGGAGGCCACCTGGATCTGCCACTGAAGCCAGCAGGATCTGGCGATGCTGAAAACTAGGCCAGAGACGGTGAGGATTTTTTAAGGAGGGAACCGTGCTTTACTTTAAATCTTTCCCTTGAGTGCTGTGAACCAAACCCCAGGACCCTGAGCTAGTGCCAGAGCGCCATGGGCACTTCAGCATCATCCCACGTTCTCATCCTCCCCCATCACTTCCAGCCGAGCAAGAGCTACTTTCACCTGGTTCAGAAGTGGGGTGATGGCATCATCAGACCGGTCCAGAATAAGCAGTAACGGAGGAACTTCGGTGCGCCGGAAATCAAACAGCTCGTATTCTTTAGTAATCACTTGCTGGAGGAGCAGAAAGGCAGATAAGTCAGTCAGTCCTAACTGCAGAGGGGAAGAATTCCCTACAGCCTGGGTGCTAGGCAGTGAGAAGCAAACAGAGAGCGCAAGAGAGAGTGTGCTGTTATAAGTAAGCACTGCTAATGGAATACCTTGCATTTTGCCAGGGTTCTCAAAACGCTGGACAAGAATCTATTCGTTAATCTCCACAACACCCCTAAGAGTTGGGGAACAAGCATTCTGCCTGTTCCACAGATGGGGAAACCGAGGCACAGAAAAGGGAAGCGACCTGCCCAAGGTCATGCAGCAGATCAGTGGCACAGCCAGGAATCTCAAAGAACAGCCCCCAAAAGAATATTTTTCTCCTCTTAAACGCTGCAGATTTGTGACAGGAAGTACAAGTAGATTGCCAGGATCAGTGCAGGGCAATTCCATACCTTGACGCATTCAGCGAGCCTCTTTGCAGGCTCAGAGGAGAGCTGGTAACGAATCATGGGGCACTTCTTCAGAGACAGGAGCAAAGCAGTCAGCCCTTGGGCTGTTCTGGACAGCTGGGCCAGATCCCAGCTGCGACCCTGAAAATGAAGAATACTTTTGATTTCTGGCAACTGCGTCAGGAAAGAGGGAACGCAGCCACCATTTGCTGAAGCAGCTGCTAATTTGGGGGGTCATGGTTTTTGGGGTGCTCAACCTGAGGCCAGATTTTCAGAGGTCCTGAACAATCCAAACTGAAGTCAAAGGAAGCCGAAGGTGCTGATACCTCGGAGTTCAGGCTGAAGGGGGTCTCAAATTGAGTGTCCAAAATGTGATACACAACACAAATTAGTAGATGCTTTTCAAAGCTATCTAGTCGTATATACAGTTCCCTTCAGCTAGCGTCCAGAGCCTATATTCAAAGGCAGAGCAGCAGCACTATTAGATATTTACTGGACACAGCAAAAAAAAAAAAAAAAAAAAAAAGGATTTAGGATTAATTAATTTGGATCTTCTGAAGAATTTTATTTCAATGGTGTCACACAGGCCTCAACCCTGCTGTTTTTGCTCATGTATAATCTCTGTCGATTTCAATGGGAGTTCTTCCTGAGTGAGGACTGCTGGAGGAACATAGGAATTGCCAGACTGAAGGTCCATCTAGCCCAGTGTCCTGTCTCAGACAGTGGCCAGCGCCAGCTGATTTAGAGGAAGGCACAAGAAACCCACATTAGGAATCATCCTGACCTCTACTGGGTTATACCCTGAAGCATGAGGTTTAATAAGCATGAGGACCTTAGTATTTTCTTAATTGACTTCTCTCTCTCAGGTTCCTTGCCTCCTCCAGGAAATGATCTAGGAGGTTTCCAAATAGCCCTATGTGCATCTTCACTCATTCTTTCTGCTTGGTCTTTGCCTTATGGAATGGCTTTGAACTGTTTCTTATTGAAACCATCCAGACGGCTGCACAGAAGACAAGCACCGTGACACTTGAGAGATTAAGGTGTTGGCTTGACACCTGTGGGGTTTGAAGTCCACAGAGCAGGTGCAACATGGGCAGCAATTCAGGCTCAAAGTAACCCATCTCTGCCCCTCAGGGAGTCCATTTAACACTAAGGGGGAGGACGATCTACATAGCACCTCCAATCCATGGCCTTTCATTTATTGACAAAGTGATCAGCTCCACAGTAAGGGCTGCAAGCTAGAACATCCTAGCTTCCCAGGGTGTCCAGTTAGTTGTGACCATGTTCTGGTGTCCTTCAATCCCAGCTATCAACCAAAATGAGACCCTAGAGGAGCATTAGTCTTTTCCATACCTGGCAGCAGCCCAGGAGGTTGAGGGAAAACACGTGTGGATTCACGGCAATGTAATCTCCGTAGAACTCCTGCCAAGAAACACAAGTAAATACAGTTAGCGTCCCACCAACACTTACACCTCCTATGCGAGCAAATGTTTCAACACCAGCAATTCAGCCCGAACACCTGAACATAGGGACACGTCCTTAAAGTCGTAAGTGATTCACAGCCCCACTGACTCCCAGTGATCCTCACTCCTCCCCCCACAACTCTCAGAGTTCCTATCACTGCTGGCATTTCCAGTCTGTTCCTGATATATGGCTTTTACTCCACCTTTTGCGTGTATGCCTGTCAGTCACCGCTATGGGAGACACGTACCAACCCTGCTATGGCAGAGGAGCTCTGGCAGCTTGGGGCAGATTATTTTTAGACAGTGTATACATTCTTCTAGTCCTAAATTGCTGCATAGTGTTGTTGTGTGTGTACTGTTCAATGGCTGCTGAGGTTATTCCCCAGAGGTGGCTGCAGTGACAAGTATATGTAGCCTGTTGATCAGTTCTGAAAGTACTTTGGGATGGGGAGAGTCATGTAAAATATTAAATAATATTACACACACCTGAATTTCCGCCACAACTTCCTGCTCGTCAGCCTCAGCCAGTGACTTTACATCACTCTTACTGATCACGTTACTGAAATCTGAAAGGAGACACGCGAGACACAGCAGGTCAATAATGGCTGTGATAATTATTGTAACCCGATTTCCCCCACATGAACATCACGTGATGATTCAGGGTGCTGGGTTGATGGCCATGGAGACTGAAGCTTTCCTGTGTTTAGACACAGAGCGGGTACAGCATGGATAGTGGCACAGGATGTTTTCCCTTTATGTTGCTCCCAATCTAACATGTGTCCAGTTAGGGTACTTTGAAATACAGCAGCAGCACCAAGCCCATGATATACTCAGTAAAATCAACAACAGCATCTCTTGCAATGTGTTTGTACAGCACCCAGCACAATGTGGCCTCGATCTCAGCTGGGGCATCTAGGCACCACGGTGTTCATTTATTTCTAATCTGCATTGAGCCACCACCACTTTTTACTGCATTTTTTTTCCATCTAGACACGTGTTTCTTCTCCGGCTTCATTGTGTTCGTACAGATCAACAATGACATCTAGTGGCTGGTTGAGCCCACTCCCATGAATCTCACAAGTCAGAAAGAAAAAGGGTTGGGAACCTGTTTTTTTAAGAGGACTGAATTTAAACCCAATACTAAGTGCGACTAGAAGTTCTAGAATTACACAGCATGAACACAATACTTGAGAAACACCAGGCTGGGCCAGTAGTCAGTGAAAGGTTCAGTCTAGTTGTTCTAGGCACCCATGGACCAGTACATTCCACTAAATTCTAACCTTGGCTCTGGTTCAAATCCAAAGCGAAATAATGTCACTCTCTCAGCCTTTCTACCTCAGTTTCCCCATCTGTAATATAGGGATGGGAATGGCCTACTTTACCCCCAGTGGGAGGTTAAATTCACGCCTGTAAAGGGTTGTGAAGATGTAAAGCCCTAGAAGTGTGAAGTGTTATTGCTGGTTGTGGAATATACTGCCAACTGGGGTCAGCGTTCATGTTGTCAGCCCACTCCCTCAATCCTAGGGCAGCCGGTTTGGTCGTGTCAGAGAAGAGAGAAAATGCCGAGGAAGAGGACAAGAATCTCTCATAATTTTACAAGAGACTGCTCTGCACAGCTTATGAGCATTGCTGATGTGGGCAGCTGAGAACGAGATCTGGTTGTAAGATTGCGGTACTAGGAATCACAACCCCTGGACGCTGTTTCTGAACATGGCACGTGCTTCTTGTGTGACCTTCCAGTAAGCGGATTCACCTTTCTGTGCCTCAGTTCTCCCACTGGAGAATAAGAGCGACCCACTGCCCAATTGCTGTGAGATCCTTGGATGAAAGAACTTTGAAGGACAATGCATTTTTAAGTGCCTTTGATGGGCCTGAAGTAAAGCCTGGAAGGACGAGCAGCTCGGCATGAGGTTACTTGGAGGGGGGAGAGGAGGGACATATTGCAAAAACTCAAGACTAGTGGCACGTAGTAGGGGAAGTAACATCCAAGGGTTTGTGTCTATGTAATGCTTTAACTATATTGGTTTCAAACCAGTCTAATTGAAGTGGTACAACCCCCTAGTGTGGGCACAGTTATACTGGTGCTTATACTAGTATAGCTTATTCCCATCAATTTTGGGGAGGAATATGCTAACCCTGTATAAAGTTCATTTATGGTATAGCTGTATCTATACTTAGGGTTGTACAGATTTTTGACTCTCTTGATAAAATGAAAACAAAACAACCCACACCAAAAGAGTTAAATTGGTACAAAAATCTCTATGTAGATCAGGCCTTCCCGAGGTGAGACTGAGCATCAGAAGGCTACTGAATGAGTACAGAAACAAGGACTTTAAGAATGCTTCACATTTAGAAGAAAATATTTGCATCATATCAGAGTCTGCCTAGAGGGTCTGAAATACTTGGTGAACCAGGACATACGTACAAATATAATAGATGCTGTACTTGGGCCTCCGTAGCTCCTGAATGAGGTATTCCACGTTCTCCTGGATAAAAGGAAAACCCAGACGGAGAAAAATCAGAAAATGTCCCAATAATTATGCAATAGGTGATTAGACTAATTAATGCTTCTAAGCTGGCAGCACTCTGGACCTGATTCTGCAAATCACTATGCTCTTGCTAAAAATCGCTGGAGGTCGGGGTTTTGCAGCACCACCATTCTGGGCGCACTCAATACCAGAGCCGGGTGGAAAACGGTTTGCCTGTCCTTTGAATATTTTCAAGATATTGAGAATTTTTCCCCTCCCGAATCAGGACAAAAGCCAAAATTCTGAGAATCTTTCCAAACTGAAATTCCAGGGGAAAAAAAAAAATTCAGTTTGGGGCAATTGAAATGGACTTTCAAACTATAATTAGCTTCAATTTTTGAATGGAGGCATTTCAAACTGGGATTTTTCATTGAAACTAGTCAAAACTAAATGTTTCAACAACTTCTAAACTTATTTTTCAAAAAAATTGCAAGTAAGAGAATTCATCAAAACTGACCCTTCACTGCTAAAAGTTTTGACTAATTGGCATTTTCAGACCAAAAAAGTTTGAAAAAAACCCAGCTCTTCTCAATGTTTAAGGACTTGCTCCGGCAAGAGGCCAGACTGGAATTCTCCTCACTCGTAGAAGAGGGAAAACCTACAGGAAGGATCTCCCTGCAAGCAGCCCTGGATGCAGCTGACTTGGGGTACGTCTATACTACCCGCCGGATCGGCGGGTACCCTGTTTCCCCGAAAGTAAGACATCCCCCGAAAATAAGACCTACTTCCAGTTTTGCCTCTCGCTGTAATATAAGGCATCCCCCGAAAATAAGACCT